GAGCTCTGGCGTGGGCTGGTCCATGAGGTCACGAAGAGTCGGAGACGACTGAACGAATGAACAACAATATTAGGGGGAGGGAGTATGTCTTAGAATTAAAGAAATAAAGTATTACAATTTTAATACTGTCTCTTTCAGGCACGCCCAAGCTTTGTTACATGTTGATTTTTTTATTTAATAAATATTACGATAATACATAATAAACAAGCGAATGTATATTTTGTTCATACATTCATATGCTAATTATGAAGTACAAATAAATATTCTTTGAGAGGCAACACATTCATTTAAGCATGCAGTTGGAAGGTCTGTCCTCAAAGTTTATGTCAACTACTCACTTGGTGGTCTTCGTGCCTCATTTTCACTCGACCCCCTGCACTAAGAGGGTAGTAAAATCTAGGAAATCTGAATTTTTGTTAAATGTGTCAATTCAATCTTGGCTCTTAAGATATCTGATTGCCTTTGGTGTTGCCACACAATGTGTGTGCAAAGATGTAGCAAAAAGGTCCCGTAAATATTTATGGATATTTTAATAGATATTTCTCACACACATTATATGCGATTAAGTGCTGAAGATGTCAGGATTGACTCATGCTGTAGCCTGAATCCATTCTAGTTCTTTATGATTAAAGGGGGGGAAAACTGCCTTTAACTTAAATAACTTCTTACTAAATGAATTTAGGTAGGATTCGTTTCTTCTAGGCTACTGATAAATAGTCCACACAACCCTTTGGTAACTAGAATACCCCTGGCTTCAAATTGTATTTAGAAAGTAATTTTTGGAAATGTCTTGTCTCTGTATTATTTTAAAGGCTTTTATTCATTGTGCAGAACCTCAAGGGCTCTGGTAGGTTGACTGGCAATATATAAATGATTAGATCAAATGTTTCTGCCTGTAAGAAGATTTTTAGATTAGTATAAACTATTCCATACAGTGTTGGTGCAGTCATGCAGGCGGGTGATGCTCCACTTGCCCACGCATGTGCTTCCTTTGAGAACACAACCACCAGAGCAGGTGATCCATCACATTGATTATTATGAAGTGAAAGAAGCCACTAAAATGAGGCTTTTTTCACCATGTAACAGTTGCCCACCACAAGGAGCGGTGGGTAAGAAATAAAATAATAATAATAATAATAATAATAATAATAATAATAATAACAACAACAATAATTTGATACATAGTAAGATTAGTACATAGCAAACAACATCTCTATGCTGGCTGTTGATAACACGTTGGACACTTCTCAAGTGTCTAGAACTGTGTGATGTATCGGTGAATAATGCGTGCAGATCCAAGTAGGGTGGCTTTTTGCAGCTGACAGATGGTAATTTTGTTAGTGTCGATTGTTTTTAAGTATAGATCAAGGTCTTTAGGCATTGCACCCAGTGTGCTGATCACCACTGGGACCACCTTTATTAGCTTGTGCCACAGTCTTTGCATTTCTATATTTAAATCCTCATATAGTGTAAACTTTTCCAGTTGCTTCTCATCAATTCTGTTGTCAACATCGACAATCCATACTCCCCCCCCCCCCCCCCCCCCCCCCCATGAACATGAAGTAAGGAGTATTGTACTCCAAAACTCTATCAGTCTGAATTCAGAAGTCCCAGAGTAGTTTGAAGTGTTCACAGGCAGATGGTATTTGTGGCACGTTGTTGTTATTATTATTATTATTATTATTATTAACATAAATGTTGACAACTTTTTAAAAACTTCTCATGCCATTAAACAAAGATATACTGTACCTTGGTTTTGGTTACACAATGCAGTTGCGACACTGTCAAAGCTGGGTTTTTTACCTGAAAAACCAAAAACTGAACAAAACAAACACATCTACCAATTTCAACCATTTCCCCCCAACAAAAATGTTAACATTCTTCATAATGGAGCCACAGCAGTTAATGTGCTTAAGATCTAAAACATTTTCCACCCGCATATACAAGGAAGGGATTAAAAATCCTCGGAAAGTTCTTTTAATATATATTGCATTTATTTGAATAAAAACTTTGATAGTGTCCCCTTTAATTAAAGTGCTGAAAACATTTTACAAAAGGAACATTTTAGAAGCAAGCAAGCCATTCCAGTTTGTCAGGGGAGAAGGGAGGAGGCAAAAACCCAATGAAGTTAAACAACGGAAGGTTTCTAAGTCACATTGGTGTATTTTTGTGCAGCACAGACATCTGGGAAACATATGTACAGGAAACAAATTCAGTCTTATACAACTCTAGGTTACTAGAATTATAAGCAAGGAAACATCGTATTACCCTGTGTTTTTAAAATGTCATATATAGCTAAAATTCCATGGGAAGGGGGAAGCGGGGAGTTAACAAATTCAGGCTTGATCATCCAAGTGTCACTGGAGAATATTTCTGGAGACACCAGACTGTTTTGGACTCTCAGTTAATCAAGGCTGTTGAATTTCAAAACAGAGTTTCCTGTTTCACTATCTACAAATGACGTTCATGTTGGTGACTCAGTGCAAGCTGCAGAGTGCTAATTTTCCCCCAGTGCAAGTTCGATTCCGGCATCAGAGGAACTGAATTTCCTCTACAAGGTGAGCCTGAAGGCCACTATGCAAACCATCTCATTAGTTTTAAATGAACTTTTGCCTCTCTTTATGCTGGCGAAAGTTCTGCTGTTGCAAATACTTGGCTTCCAAGAATGGGTGCCTTCTTAACGACACACGTCTTCCCTATATCTAGATCAACTTAAATGGCAAAACACCCACCAAAAACAAAAACAAAAAAACCATTGGCCAGTTACAATATTGAAATACAGAAGTTTTATCTGAGAGTTACTTAATTGAAAATGTAAGATTAATAGCTAAGCAGGTTATTGATCATAGTAGAAATAAAATGGGCACGATTCAGTGATCTGTTACTAGGAAAAATATTAATGCATTAACATTATATCCTTGGACGTCCCTACTCCAAGCCTGTCTTACATACAATGTCAACTTACATACAATGTCTAGAAACTATACATCTAATCTTGGCAAATATAAGGATTTTACTTCCTGGCTTGAACACGTTTTGGGCTGTTTTATTATTTCATATGTTAGAGGATGAAAAGACATAATACTAATATTAAAAGATGCTCAGAATTATCTCCTAAGTATGCTATATTTAAATTAGTAAGTTTAAAACACCTGTAAGCCTTCTGTTTCTACAAAAATGATCAAATCAATTTCTCCACAGCCTTTTACATGGACAAATCCCTTTCTGTATACCAAACATGTGAATATCTTAATGAAAAAACACATTCTGATATATCTAACTTCTTGTTGCCCAACACAGACACAAACACAATTATAAATGTATCATTGGTTATACATGTCCTTCTGAAGTCAAAATTCATTCAGAATATTTAAAGCAAAAACTCATATAGGCCATTAAAACAACAAATTAATTTACTCAAGGGATATTTTAAATATACAATTTATGTAGAAGCTGAAAAAATAGTATTTTTCAATGTGTATGTGTCTCTGTATGTGTGTATACATATGAGGGAGAAACAGTAAAAAGAGTGATATCTCCTATTTACATATTGTCCCAACCTGATGAATGATGTAGCTAGAATGTGTTTATATCTGCAACAGCCAGAGTTACATAAATGATCACGAACTTGTCTAATGACAGATAAACCTAAATTAGGGCACTGTCCACTTCATTCATTGGGTTTTCACAGTGTTTCATCATCACTCATGTCCCAGATCTGCAATGAAAAAAAAGGGGGGTCACATGTAGTATATTCAATACTTGACATTATTTATCTCATTGTTGTTTTTTGCATAATACAAATTTATTTATTTATTTATTTATGGCATATCTACCCCGTCTTTCTCACCCTTGAGGGGACTCAAGGCAGCTTTACACACGATGCCTTAAAACACAATGTAAACTTAAAGAAATGTTAAAATAGAATTTAAAAGTACATTAAAAACAATTTAAACATTAAAAAATTATACATTTAGAGTTAAACACATAATTCACAAGTGTAATCTGGGCCATTCCAATGGTCATTGCACATTGTTCCAAGTCTATTGATTGAAAAGTTCTTTAAAGGTTTGGTCACAAAGCCACATTTTCACTCTCTTGCAGAAGGTCAGGAGGGAGGGGGTTGATCTAATATCCCTGGGGAGGAAGTTCCACAGTTGAGGAGCCACCACTGAGAAGGCCCTTTCTCTCATCTTAGCCAATCACAACTGCAAGGGAGGCGGGGCCGAGAGCAGGGCCTCCTCAGACGATCTTAAGCTCCGAGATGATTCATAGGGAGAGATCCGTAAGACAGGTAAGCTGGGCTGGAACTGTTTAGGATTTTATAGGTTAAAAAAGAGCATTGTTCTGGTGCTGCTGATACTATGTAACTGCAGACACTAAAATATTTTAGATTCTAGAAAATGCAATTTGGATGAAGACATTTACTGCCAGAAAATGTCAATATTTCAAAAAGAAAAAAAGAGTGCTGTCTCCACCAACCTGTAAAGCAGTGGTTCTCAACCTTACTAATGCCACGAACCCTTAGTACAGTTCCTCATGTTGTGGTGACCCCCATCCATAATGTTATTTTCGTTGCTACTTCATAACTGTAATTTTGCTACGGTTATGAATCGTCATGTAAATATCTGATATGCAGGATGCACAAATGCCCAATACACCCAAATTTGATTACTGGTGGAGTTGGGGGGATTGATTTTGTCATTTGGGAGTGTTGGGAGTTGCTGGGATTTATAGTCCACCTAAAATAAAAGAAGCTTCTGAACTCCACCAGTGATGGAAGTGAATCAAACTTGGCACACAAAATTCCCATGACCAACAGAAAATACTGGAAGGATTTGGTGGGCATTGACCTTGAGTTTTGGAGTTGTAGTTCACCTACATCCAGAGAACACTGTGGACTCAAACAATGATGGATCTGGATCAAACTTGGCACGAATACTCAATATTCCCAAATGTGAACATTGGAGGAGTTTGAGGAAAATAGACCTTGCCATTTGGGAGTTGTAGTTGTTGGGATTTATAGTTCACCCACAATGAAATAGCATTCTGATCCCCACCAACGATAGAATTGGACCAAACTTCCCACACAGAACCCCCATGACCAACAGAAAACACTGTGTTTTCTGATGATCTTTGGCGACCCCTCTGACATCCCCTCGCGACCCCCACAGGGGTCCCGACCCCCAGGTTGAGAAACACTGCTGTAAAGTAAGGATGTGGAAAGCAGGCATTGCCTTATCTATTCCAAGAAAACAGTTTGCAAAAATAACACTTTTCAAACCACTAAAAGATAATTTTGAATGTGCCTCCTGAAGTAAAACTGCAGACATCTTTTTATCAATAAAGTCACAAAATAGAGCCTTTTTCTTTGCATGATATTTTCATAGCATGATGCCATCGATAAATGGTTTGCAGCATGATGTTCAAACAATTCTGGTGAATTTAGGACCTCCCCTGGACCAGTCATTCTTCTCTTGTGTATTGACCCAAATGAAGCTGTAATTACTTAAAAGGAGAGTTGTTTAAAATAACTGCTAATTTAATAATATAATTATAACTTTATTCTTGTGTCCCACCACCATCTCCTCAAAGGGACTTGGGGCGGCTTACACACAGGACAAGTGCCTAAAAACAAAACATGAAATAAAACACAACATAAAACACAATTGAACAAAAACATACAGGCATATAAAACAACAACTTAGAACTCAATTAAAAAAGAGCTCATCAACCGAATGGCAGTAAGCTACTGTAAGACGTGGCCAGGCTGTAAACAATAGGACAAGGAAATGGGATAAGTGTAAAGTTATAACCATGGACCGAGGACATGGGATCAAGTGCAAGGTTGCATAACTGTTGGGTGAAAAAATAGAGACTAGGTTAGTTTAAGATACAGGCTGCGCCAGAGCAAATGACGGCTGTCCCAGTTGCCTGATTTAAATAACCAATTTAGGATCTGATATTTTAGTCGTATAATAATCTCATAGAACTGTAGGAATACACAATCTCTATAATATTTCTTCAGTTTAGTATTTGTAAGATTACATGCATGGTTTTTTTTTAACAGACTAGAAGGGGTGAAATCACTTATTTTGCCCATTCATATTCCAACTGCTACAAAACAATGCTAGGTGAAGTGGATGTTTTTATGTTGGAACAATGCAGGCTTTTCACCTCCTCCCTCTCTAGCAAAAGCAATTGAAAACAATGACTAAAAGGGAAGTGGAAAGACAGACAAGGATCTATGAGATCAAATGTAAAAAAAAGTGGCAAATCAGCACAAAGAATATAGCATGAAAAAATGTGTGTGCCCTTTTGTGCTCATACTGTAGGATACATAAATATATATAATAAGCATATCTTTTCTTCCTGTAACTACATGTTATTTATAAATATATAAAGAAAGGCACTGCCATGTGTATATGCCTCAAAGATAATACGAGATCTGCCTTCAAGAGGCAGATTAAGATCCACATAATATTGTATTCTGTTTGCAAGGACAGTTGAGCTGACCAAATTTATTTATTTATTTACCCTATTTATACCCCATCTTTCTCTATCCCAAGGTGGACTCAAGGCGGCTTACATATGGCAATTATTCAATGCCTTAAACACATACATCATCAAGCTTAAAATCCATTGAATAAAAATTAATACATATTAAAAAATTAAAATTACATTCAATATTAAAATCACACCATCCAAAAATTGTAGTCTGAAGCTGTTCCGTATTCATTGCACATATAATTATGTTATATTATTGCACTGCTTCTCCTGGTCCCAGAGCCAGGTTTTACTCTCCTTCTGAAGGCTAGGAGGTAGGGGGCTGATCTAATGTCACTAGAGAGGGAGTTCCACAGCCAAGGGGCCACCACTGAGAAGGCCCTGTTTCTCATCCCCACCAATGGCGCTTGTGAAGAAAGTGGGATTGAGAGCAGGGACTCCCCAGAAGACCTTAATGTTGTTTCAAGCAATGTGGGAAAAATAACAGCTAAGGTAGTTGGGGGACTCCCAACACACCAGAAAGGGGTGGGGCATTGGATGGCCTGGAGCCCCTGGTGGTGCAATGGGTTAAGCCCTTGTGCCAGCAGGACTGCTGACCGACAGTTAGTGGTTCAAATCTGGGGAGCTTCAGATCCCCATGAGGGGACATGAGAAGCCTCCCACAAGGATGATAAAACATCAAAAATCTGGGCATCCCCTGGGCAATATCCTTGCAGATGGCTAATTTTCTCACACCAGAAGCGACTTGCAGTTTCTCAAGTCACTCCTGACACACACACACACACCCCCAAACTGGATTCCCTAAAATTGCATCCACATATGAGGCTACACCACAACAGCCTTCTTCACTACGTTGTTGTCTAGGACTATAATTGTACTCTAAAGGCAAGGTACGATGTGAGTTCTAGCCCAAGTTTGTGGAAATGTAGTCTTCACGTTTTGAAGAATTAAGCAGCACCTTCGGCATATCTACTATTTATTAGATCAGTTTTGAGGTTCTTTACTGTCTTTTTATGGTCCTCTTCTCTCACAGCAGATTCCATTTCTCCACCAAGCATTTATTTTCTAAACCCATGGCGCTCAGGCTTCTGTCTCTTATCAGCCACTTCAAGCTACACAATCCTAGGCAATTTCCCCAGGATTTTCCTTTTGCCAGAGAAGAAGACTGTCCTTTGTAAAGGGTTATGTAACTAACAGCACTAGAAATGTGCGCTCTTTTATCATTCAGCCCCTTCTTGTGCTAGGCATTCATGCTTTCCCCTCATTTGCTTTATTGCTCCCCAACCACAATGTGTTATCTTGGGTTCTTGAATGTCTTTTCTTTTCCCTTTTAAATCCATTTGCTTCCATTAACTGTTTCTTTCTCCATTTATTTATTCCACGTTCCCTTTGAATTTGCACATTTCCCCTCCTTAAATTCACTAATTGTTCACTTTATCTCATATATCTCTTTATGCTTTAAAACCTCCTTTCATGTGGCATTTTCCCAGCTGACTATATTAATCTTTTTTGCCACATGCAAAATATTATCTTTGTACTGTCCTTTTATTTTTCCTCTCATCTAATTTCCAACTTCTTTCAAATTTATAAATCACTAAAATCATTTGTTTATCTGTACTGCTGTGATCCCTTTCTTTTAATTCTAATGTATCTTTGAAATCAAGTGTTTTGTTTGATATGTCCCTGGACTGACTTCTTCACCTAAAGCTTCCAATAATTTAATTCTTCCTTCAGGCAAAAGCATGTACATACCTGGCATCCTTTTGAATCTTTCCAGTATCTTTAATAAGACATCTACACATATCCCCTTTGTAATCACAGTTTCGTAGCATTCTTTTTGTAAACAGAACCACAGAAGTGGAGAGTTAGAAAGTAGGGCTGGGCGGTTTCGTTTCGTTAATTCGTAATTTGTTAAAAAATTTGTTAATTTTTCAATTACAAAATGATAACGAACCAGTCTGGAGCAATTTTTAAAAAAAACGAATTTTTAAATCGTTTGTAAATGTTTTGTATTTCGTTATTGTATTCGTTTCGTTATCGTTTTGAGGTCATTTCGTTATTATTTCCACATGTCTGGGGCAAGTTTTATAGTTGTTATTCGTTTCGTTATTATTTCCGCATGTCTGGGCCAGTTTTATGGTTTAATTAGTGAAAAAAAATTATAATATCACACCAACAGTCAAAAACAGAGGGAGAGGGAAGCTTCAGAAG